AAATTTACATTAATTTACTGACGTGCAATATACTACCAATTTATAAATTACTTCTAACCACATTTCATGAGAAGTACAAGCGAACTCTTTTTATTACATTTTGTATTATTTAACATTTAATATATTATATGACATTTTAATCTTTTTTTACTAAACATTTAATATTTATATATATATATATATATATATGTATTTCTACTTCTAACAAATTAAAGTATTTTAACTTATTTATTTAATATTTTCTACTACTGTTTTTGCTAATTCTTAAATTTTATTTACTATAGTTTCTTAAGTATCTTCTCCTAAAATTTGGTATTTTTCTACATTTTTTAAATTTTCAAGCTTTGGATAAATTATTTAATAACTCTAATTTAATTCTTTTTAAATAAATAAAATATATAATATAGATATAAATACCTTAAATTATTTATTTTTATTTTTAAGTCATATTTTAAGTTTAAGATTCATAATATTTTTACGCTTCATCGCATTTGTTTTTCATAAACTTTTAATTTTTTCGATATTTAATAAAAATACGTTAAATAAAATATTACTTCATTTAGTTTATATAAAAGTTTCATAGAATAATCAATCAATTCAATATATTTTTTTATTTAATTATATAATTATTCAATATATTATTCCTATTAAATATTCGATTTTTTAAAATTCTCTATTTGCTATTCAAGGTTTTATATTTACTAAATGTACTATTTTTCTTTTTTTTAATTCATATTTATTTATTGTTTTATTGTTTATTTGAAATTTTAAACAAAATTAAAAAATAAAATTTGTATTTGAAATAAATAAAATATATATATATCAAGAAAAATAATAAAAAATAAAACAGTTTCTTTAAAAAAATTATAAAAAAATGAAATATGCAAAAACAAAATTAATAGATCCTTTAAAAGATAAAAGAGATGAAAATTTTATTCAATTAAAATCTAACACATATTTTTTTGAAATATTCAAGAAAAAAAAATATAAAAGTGACATAATAATACCCCATAGTATAATATTTGAATCTGGAAATCCAACAAATTGGTTTTTTAATTCCAAAAATCATAAAACACCCCTCATATTGACAAAAAACACCGAAAAATTAAATTTATTAGAAATATGCAAATTTTTAATACATCCTCCAATACCAAAAGAATATAGAATAGATAATTTATCGTCGTTAACTGATTATTGTAAAAAAAATCAAAGCCATGTTCCTGTTTGCTTTATACGATATATAGATAAAAAAACCGAAATAATTAATAGCCGAGATTTAGTTAAACTTTTTGTTGATGGAAAACAAGGAAGTAGTGTTTCTGTTATTTAATAATATTTAAATCATAATATTGCAGATGTCGATAATATATTAGATCCTAAATCTAGTAATTATTTTATATATTTGTATGTTTGCATATACAAATTGTTTACGGAATTTTTTATTTTTTCTTTAATATTTTTTAAAAATTAATCATAAAAAAAATAAGGCCTATTCATTTTTTTCTTTTTGTTGATTAAGTTTTTATAAAATATTTAAAGAAAAAATAAAAAATTAAAGAAAAAATAAAAAAATCCATAAACAATTGATATATATTAAGTATTTTTTACTTTTTTTGGCAGATGAAGTTTTTTATGTGGAATATAGACATGATGAAAATACTGTTCCTTTAAATTTCAAGTTTTATAAAAAATCAATTATTATAAAAAAAAGTAAGAATTAAACTCCACTGTAATTATAAAAAAAGTATAATGAAGAGGAAACAACTAAAAAAGAAACTAATAAATAAATTGCAAATATTACCTATTTTAGGAGTTTTAATTAAGGCCTAAATAATAAATTAACTGAAGTAAATTAAAATATATATATTTAAATATTTCTTTTAATATTTTTAATAAAGATTACATTAAAATTAGTTGAATTTATTGAAAAATCTTATAAATTAAAAATAAGAAAATTTGTTCCAAAATATTTAGTAAATATAAATAATGAACCTTTTTTTATTGGAATCAAATATTTTTATATTGAAGTATATTCATACGGTAAATAAATAAATATGAGTTAAAATAAAATAAAAATTATAATTCAAAAGCTCCGTATGATTTCGAAGTTATAAAAGAATCAAAAGATATGGATTTTAACGAATTTTATAAAATAACAAAATAAACAAAAAGGCCTTGTCCAATAAAAGTAAATGGATTATAAGTTGAATTACCAAAATAAATACACTAAGATGATAAAACATATTCATCAATTCTTTATAAAAAAATGCGAATTGAAAAATGTGGAGGAGATTTTTGCAATTATGAAATGTTAGAAAAGAATAAGTAATATAGTATATATTTTTATAAATATATGAATATATATAATTTTAAATATATATATATATATATATATATATATATATATATATATATATATATATATATATAATATTTAATAGTGGACCTTTAGCAATGTAAATGTTTAGTATAGAAGATTAAAAAAAAAAAATATAACTTAATTAAACCAAAAACATTGATAACATATCAATATCTCTTCCTTACGAAATCTCAAACTAACTAGTATTAAAAACTCGGCAAAACTCAAGCGAAGTAATCTCAATTTTATTAAAAAATAAAATATTCTAATCTGATTCTTCTATTGTAAAATAAAAATATGAATACTAAAACGATGAAAATTTCAAGAACATTGATGAGAGTACAGAATATCCATTTAAAAACAAGAATAAGTAGGCTGACAATTACGAAAACCTATATAAAAGAATTAAAATATGCAAACAATGTTTCGTAATATATTCCTTAGTAACGAAACACTTTGAAAAACAACAAAAATAAATTCAAAAAGAAAGTATAATGAGCTCCAAATCATAGACGTATTTTTAAACTCAAAAGCAATTCAAAATTGGAATTACTCATAAACCTAATAGAGTTTGCTCGAAAATTTCTAAAAATCCAAGCGTTTATAAAGACAGTGAAATAGAAACTTAGCATAAGATGATTTTAACTTAATATATTCCTTCTTAAAAATATAAATTACTTATAAATTCAAGAAAAGATATTGAAACAAATAGACTCACTTTAGGTTTTTATATCATTATTTATTCTTTTTAAACTAAAAAATAAAAAATAGGTTTCTTAAATTATGAAAATTTAAAAAATCTTTATAAAGAACCTGAAGAAATAAAATAAGATGGAATTAATGAATTAAATTAATTTAAAGCTTAAAAAAGAACGGTTGATATTTTATTTTTAAAAATATTTTTATAAATATAAATTTTATTATTTAAAAAATAGAATATAAATTTGTTAAAAAGTAATAAAGAATTCATAAGAAAAGATATAAATGCCGAATCTTTCTAACTTTATAAAATAACAGAAGAAAAAAAGCTTTGAGGAAAAAAATAGCTTCAGATAGTTAGATGAGGAAAGCACTTTAGAATAAACTTGAGTAACATATAAATCTTTAGTAGAATCCTTATTTAATATAAACCGCTAGTCTATATTATAATCATACAAATTTTTAACACTTAAGATAACTATCTAAATTTAAAGTAAATTTTTTGAAAAATAAAATAAAAAATATGTATATGTTTGTTGTTGTCGTCGGATATTTATATAATAAATACCAAATTTATTATATTAACAATATTTAAATTTAATTTTTAATATATAAGCTTTCTTCGCCAATAAAACCTTTTTATGATGAATTAGATATATCTTTTTTACCTTCAATTACTTTAGATTAAGTATGTAATTAAATGGGTTACGAAATGCCTTCTTAACAAAACACTTAGGACATGAGTTTTTTAATAATTGACGAAAGTACAGCTATTCCTTATTGTTTATTATAAGAAAATATTACAAACGAAAATTAAAATACTAATAATATTAAAGTAGCTAATTAGTAAAGCAAGCTTGCTGGAGATTAAGATGAAGAAGAAAATAAACAAAAATCTTATGATATAATTGTATTTTTGCATGATTTCTTTGATAGTTTTGTAGAATATAGGCATATTTTTTAATAAATAATAAGCTTAAATTAAAATACTAAAGTTTTGCTTTTAAACTTACCAGGATAAGCTTATACTATATTCAATCAAGATTTAATTTATACAAATATATTTTAATTAGAAGTTATTGATAAATTAATATTTAAATTAAATGAAGAAAAACTCATTAGTACTTAATATGATAAATTTAAATTTATAGGATTTGGATATGGAGGTTTCATTCTATAAAGTTATAGTAATTAAATTTAAATATGTATTTTTAATATTTATAATCTATTTTATTTTTTGTTGAAAAAAAGTGGTTTGTTGCTATGGAAATTTACCTAATTTGAATTCATTACTTTTAATAAATTCATTTGCTGAAGTAGATAATATTTTAAAAGACACCCTTACAAAATCCCTTGAAATATTTGAAAGTTGTCCTGAAGATATGAACGATTTGGCTTTCAATTATTTCTCCGTAATTGTAAATTCGAATGCTCTTACAGATGAATAACTTAAAAATAAAATGGAAAATAATCCTATACTAAACTAAGGTAGGATAACGATAATTAAAGGAATCCTATAATCTTATATTATGAAAGATAGATTCGAAAAAGTGGCTATACCTTGTTTTATAGTACATTCATTGAAAAATTGCGTTGTAAATATTAATTAGAGCGAATTTTTGTTAAAATCAAAAAAAGATGAAAATTAAAATTTCTAAGCTAACTTGATGATGAAAAAGTTAAATGAAAAAAAATCAATAAGAAAAATTAAATATGTTAATGGAGGACACTCTATGTTAGAAGTAAAAAATATTATTTACAAAAGCATTATTTTTTAAAAAAATAAAAAAAGGAAAATTAAAAATAATTATAAAACATTATTCAAGAATTTATTATAGAATCATATTGAATAATAATAATATAATAATATTTTTTTTTAATATGTATAATAAATAATAATTTTTTTTTCGTTTTAAAAAAATAAATTAAATAAAAAGTAAAGAACTTAAAAAAATATGTCTCAAATATTAATATCATCTCCATTCTGTTAAACATTTTCATTTTCAATAAAAAGCCCAACAACTCCTTTGGAAATCCTCTTTTCCCATCTTAAAGACCTGAAAACCAAAATATTGGAGCACCTAGACACAAATAATTTATTTTTTACACTAAATAACAAACCAATATTAGGCACATTAGTCTTAAATAACCAAAATAACCTCCAAAATTTAAAAATATTTCCTAAGTTAAATGGAGGTAAAGGTGGTTTTGGTTCTTAAATGAAAAAAGAAGCTATGTCCCAAAAAAAAATAACGAATTGGGATGCTTCTCGAAGTTTGGATGGACGAAGAATCCGTGACATTAATAACGAAAAAAATCTGATAAAATTTTACAAGAAATAAAAATAAGAACAAGAAAAAATCGATAAGGAACTTGAAGAATATAAAGAAATGCAAAAAATAAATGGAGAAAAAAACTTTGGTTATGTTGTTAAAAATGACTATAAAGAAAAATGCGAAAAAGTAGAAAATTCAATTCAAAAAGCATTAAAATAGGTTTTAAATTGTAAAAAAAATAATTCTGAAAAATCCACTTCACCTTCTTAGGATTAGAATAATAATGATGAATTTTAATTTTAAATTCCCAAAAAAGTCAAACCTTAAGAAATCATAGAAAATGATAATTTATAAAAAAATTTATAATAAGAATAATAAAAAGAATAAAAATTAGTTGCTATATAATAAAATGACTCCTTTCCTTAAATTGAACTAGAAAAAATGAATTCTATTTAAGATTTAATTAATTTAGGAGATGCTTATCTTAAAAATGAACTCATGAGATTAGGTTTAAAATGTGGAGGAAAAATTGAAGAAAAAGCAAATAGATTGTGGTTAATTAAAGAAGATCCTTAGAATTTATTTAATCCGAAATTATTAGCAAAAAAATGATTACTTTTTATTTATTTTTTATATAAAAAAATATTATTAATATTAAGTATAAATTTTTCTTGATTAATTATAATTCATTTTAATTTACTTAATATAATCAATTTTTTTTTATTATTATTAAAACTAAAAATGATTTTATATTATATTTATTTTTAGTATAAGATATATATGCATGTATATAATTTTTCATTTATAATTCTACAAAATATTTATTTATTTTTATATTTCAAAAGAACTTTATTAAGTAATATTTTTTAAAGAGTTATATCTATAATTTTATACATTAATTTATGGTTTTTTAGTCGGTATTGATGGTGGAAAGTGCTTTTTTTATTAAAAGTTATTTTAAGTTCTAGTGTTTTCAATAGCTTTATCTTTATTATTTTCAATAGTTTTTTCATGAATATTTTCTATGTGCTTATTATTTTAAATAAAATTATTATTTTCTTATTAGATTTATATAGTTTTATTAAATTCAGTTTCTATTCTATTACTATAATTCTCAAATTTGTTCATTATTATATTTTAAGTATTATTTAAAATAAGCTATTATATATTATAAGGAATATTATTTTCATTTTTTTTAATTATTTTTTATGATTTATTTTCTTTTGTTTTTTAAAAATTACTATAGTATTAATATTCCTCTTAATTTAATGATTTTTAAGTTGTATTCGTTTCTTATTTATCTAATTATTTTGAATTTTCTCTTTTTATTTATATAAAAAAACTAATTAAAAATAAAAAATAATTATTTTATATACTTTTCATTTAATAAGTTTTAAACTATAATTTCGTTTTCTATACAATTTTTTTCGAATTTCTTATTTTGTTCTTCTAAATTTTGTATTTTATCATTTTTTTATTAGATTTATTCTTACATTATTTATTAATTTTCTTTTAAATTTTTGATTTCAACTTAATATTATTAACATATATCAATATACTCTTAAATTTTGAATTCGAAATGCTTCTTTACATCATCTATTTCAATCTAATAGGTCTTTTAATTAAAATTCTTCAATTATTCTAATTCATTTATTTGAATTTGTTGCTTTTAAATTATTTCTTCCATTTATTTTAATCTTTTTTATTCGCTTTATTTACATATTTCTAATGTTGTATTACTTTTTGAATATTAACTAATATTATCATCGTTTTGGAAAATTTTTCTTTTATTTAATGAACTATTTTAGTGTTGACTATATTTTTTCATTATTTTATTATAAAAAAAAAGCGATAAGATTCAAATTAATAAATTTAAAATAATATGTATTAATTTAAATTTTTTTTAAAAAAAATATTAAAATTCATTAATTTTACATTAATAAATAAGTTTACTATTTTTGATATAAAAAAAAAAAAATTAATATATTTAAAATTATAATTTATTTAAATTTTAAAATCTTAATACTTTTAAAACTTTAAATAAAAATAATTTAGAAAAAAAGATTTTTAAATAAATAAATAAAAATAATAAATATATAATGCATTAAAAATACATTTATTTAAATATAAAAAAAATTTAAAATATAGGAGTTTAAAAAAACATTTCTTATTATATTTTAAATCTTATTGATTATAAATATAAATATATAAAAAAAGTAAATATATATATATATATATATATATATATATATATATATATATATATATATTTTTTTATTATAATTTTTTTTATTATCCTACTTTTATATCTTTTTGACTAATTTTAATTTATATTCATTAATTTGTTATTACACCTTTTTCACTTTTATCATTTTAACATTCTATTGCTTATTCCAAAATTTTTTTTTCACCTAAATCTCCTAAATATTATTTTGCAATTAACTTTTCAGTAGCATAACACATTGTATTAATGCTTTTCTCAAATTCTATTTCTTTTTCATCTACTTCTATTTCTTGAGAGTTTTAATAATTATAATTTTATACTGATTCTTAAGCCTACGCACAGTCGTATTCATGAGGAGCTGCTTTATATTGTTTTTATATAGCTTAATTATCATTTTATTTATTATAAGGCACATAATCTTTGCCTAATGCTTTATGTTCAAAATATTCTGCACCAAAATTTATTATATCTTCTGGTTATTAACGTAAAATTTCGCGTAGAAAATCATATAATATATCATAAAATGTTTGATGAACAGGAAATTTTTATAAACACAAAGATGTCATTTTAATAACTTATATTAACCTTTTAAATATTTTGTAATAATTTTAATAAAAAATAAAATATTTTTATTACAGTTAATAATTTTTATTTTATTATAAATTATTTTATTTTATTTTTATTATGTTTAATATCATTTAATTTTAACAAAAAAATAAATATTTTTACATATATATATTTTTTTTTTATTTAGATATTTTTTTATTAAATATATATATTTTGTATTAATTTATATTATAAATAATAGAAATAAATTTAAATAACATATTTTTATATATTTTGTTTTAGTATTTTTAAAAAGAGTTAATATAATAATATGTCTTCAAAAAGTCAAGAAAAAAATCAAACTAACAATACACCAGAAAATGAAAAGAAAATGAAAAAGTATAATTTTATAAAAATATATATATATATTTATATATGAATAAAGATTTGGAATGTATTTTGATAATGAGAGAATTATAAAAACAATATTATCAATTGTAATTTTGACTACTTTAAGTCCTTTGATAATAAATTATGTTTTATAAACTTAAGTAAATTAAAATTAAATAGGAATAGGTTTAATAATAGCTTCAGCATTTGGATTTATTTTAGTTTTATATGCTTTATTAATGAAAGTTGATGATAATAAATTCTAAAATTACTCATAATAGGTTGAAAAGCTAATAAAGGAAGTAGATAAAAACTAAAAAAAACTGAAAAAGCTAAATAAAGTCCATAAAATAAATAAGAAGATAAAATAAATGTATAAAAAACAGAAGAAAATAAACAAGAAAAAAAAGAAGAAAAAAAAGAAGAAAAAAAATAAGGAAAAAAAGAAGAAAAAATATAAGAAAAAAAATAAGGAAAAACAGAAGAAAAAATATAAGAAAAAAAAGAAGAAAAAATTAAAAGAATCAAACTGAAACAATCAAAAAGGTAAACCAAAAGAAAGACAAAAATTAAAAATAATAAAACGATTCTGAAAATAATGAAGAAAAAGTTCCTTTAGTTACTAAAAATTAAAAAGTCCACCAAGAAAATACTAATTGGACGGAAGTAAAAGACTAAAAGAATAAAAAGCCAATCGAATTACAAGATAATATTACTTAAGAAAAGAAATCGAAAAATTAAGAAGAAAAACGTTCATAATAATAAGTTGAAGATGGATTTATTATAGTTAGTAAAAAAAATGAACTAAAAATAAAAACTCTATTTAATTATTTCATTTGTGTTTGTTGTTGTTGTTTTTTTTTTTTTTAACAAAAAATTCTTTTATTTTATATAAATAAAAGTTGAACTATTTTTATATAAAATTGATTTTTTATTTTTATAAAAATCTATTTTAATTTTTATAAGAAAAATATTAAAGCCTTTTATATACTGATATAAATTATATTATTCCTAACTAAATTAAAAAATAATTAATACTTATATTTTACATATAATAAAAAAACATATATATATATAAAAAACTATTTTATATAAATTAAATTATCTATATATAAATAATATAAATAAAAGTATCAAATATTTTCATATTCAAGTATTTATTTTGCAATTTGCTTAGGTTCTTCCAAATAAGTATAATTTTCCTAAATATCTTCGTATTTTTCGGAATAAAATAAATCCAAAGCTTATAAAATCTACCTATATTTATTCATAGTTTTTTTATTTTTTAAAATTTCTTTTTACTACTAAAATATAAAAATCATCGATTAATAAATTACATAGACGAATTCAAAATAACATTTTTCATATTTTTAAAAACTTAAAAATTCCCAAAAAATATTAAAATTTGTTTTATTTTCTTCCTTTTTTAATATAAAATTCGAGTTTGAAATCAAATCTAAATTATGCTAAATTATTTCAACATTTTTTTCTTAAAAAAACTGATTTAATTATTAAAATTAATACAAAAAAATTAACAAAAAGCATTATTTTTACTAAATATTTTTCGATTATTAATATTTTAGCGCATATTTTTTTAAAGCTATTTAATTTTCTTCTTATTATTTACATTTAAAAGCATTAATAATTTATACATATTTTTAACACAAAAAATCAACTAAACTTTCAAAACATTTCGTTTCTTCCAATATTTAGAAAGGAATTTCCCCATAATCCTTTTTTTTAAATATTTTTCCGCAAATTTTTATGCAAGAGAATTCCAAGAAAATTTGTTTTCTATAAAAAACTTTAAATTTTTAACCTAATCTTCAAAAAAATCCTAATCTATGAATTTCTCATCTAAAAATTTATTTTTTCTATTCAAAAAAACCATCGAACCATATTTAAAATTTAAAAGAATTTCTAAAAATAATTCTATAGAAATATTCTAACCGTTTATATGCCATAAAAAAAGGAAAGCAAAATAAGGACAATTATATTTTTCTAATATATAAGATGCATGCATAAATGAATAATTATATATTTATTCTATTTAAGAGATTTATTCTTCATTTTTTATCATTCTATTAGAAAATAAAAGCAAAGCAAAATTAATCATTTCATTAAAACTTATTTATTTCTAACTTTATAATTACAAAAGATTTTATACAAACTATACATATTGTCCACAAATCACCTAAACAAGAAGTCTTTCTTCCTTACTTAAATTATTCGTAAAAACATACTAACCTTTTTCTTCAATGGCTTTTTAAATCCCTTCCTTTTCCCCAAAGATCATTACATAAACCCAAACAAAATCATAGGGATTTTTGAGTAAAAGAAAGTTAATTTTTTTAATATTTTTATCCATTATATTATAAATTTAAAATAAAAATGTATCCATATCATTTTAAATTTTATTTTAAAAAGTCTTAGGTTTAATCTATTCGAGATTTTAAGATTCCCAACAAAGAAAATCACTCAAAAATCTATTTACAGTTTCATAATTATTTTTCCTTTTTTCACAATGTTATATAATATTTTTATAATTTCCTTTCCTAAAAAGCACATAAATATCATGCCAAAACGATACTGTCAAAAAACCTTAAATCCTCTCTAAATTTACCGGTGTATTTTCTAAAATCAAGCTTTCTTTTTTAGAAAAAGATACACATTTTTCTTATAAAAATCTTAAAATTTTTAAATTTTATAAACTTTCATGAATAAATAAATACTCAAAAAAACACCAAATTTCCTTATAGTTTTTTGAAAAAATACAGCATTCTTTACAAAAAAGTTAGTTCTTTTATAAACTAATATAATTCTACAAATTTAAATAGTTTTCTTCATTTTCCTCATATTCCTCTTAAGAATCCTAATTTTAATTTTCTATAAAAGTTTCATTTTTATTGCTTTAAACTTCCTCAACTAATTTACTAAAGCGAATATTAAAAGCCTCTTTTTTAAATTTAGTACATCCTCTAGCATATTCCAAATGATTTTCAATAAAAAACTTTGTTGTTAAATCTATATACTCTTCTATCCCTTAATCCGATTTTTTCAAATTCAAAAAATAAGGACGATTTTCCAAAGGTTTTTTTTCTTAAAAAAGTTAAACAGTTTATGTTCTGATTTCTCTCATTTTTTTTTCTATATTATTATATTCATATCCTTATTATTATAGTGAATATAGAGCATTTGGAATTTCTATTTAGATGTTTTCATTTTTTCTATTAATTTTTTAGATTTTCTAACTTAAGATTTGAGATAGCTAATCTATAGTTTTTTATGTTGTGGGGTAGGTATCGTACATTTGCATGTTTTATAGTCTTTTTTCTAGTTTTTATTGATATTATTATATATTTTAGTTCATTTTTTTTACACAATTAATATGTATATTTTTAGTAAAAATTTAAAAAAAAAATATTCTTTATTAAAAAAAAAATTAATTGATATTAATTTTTTTTTAAAAAAATAAAATAAAATATAAAAAACAGCTACTCACACACATAAAAAAAAAGTAAAAAAATAAATATGTCTTTCCAATAAGGCGATTTTATCTGGGACAACAAAAGTTACTTAGGAGAAGGTACTTTCGGCAAAGTTTACAAATGCAAAAGTATCAAAAACAACGAAACATATGCTATAAAAGTGATGGACATGAAGCACTTTTAAGATAAATATATGTTGGATTCATTAAAAAATGAAATAAACATTATGAAATAATTAACTAGTATGCATGTAGTATAATTAATAGAATACATAAATACACCCAAAACCACTTATATAATTCTCGAATTTTGCGAAGGTGGCGATTTGAGGAAATATATAACAAAAAAAGGAGGAAAACTAGCTGAATCGGATTCTTTAGAAGTCTTAAATTAATTAATGATTGGTTTTAAAGATCTGGTAAATAAAGGATATATACATAGAGATGTAAAACCGGAAAATTGTCTTGTAAAAAATAATATTTTTAAAGTTGCAGATTTTGGATTTGCCACAAAAGCAGATTTAGAAGGTAGATTCCTATTAAGAGATTGTGTGGGAACTCCATTATATATGGCTCCTTAATTATTAGAAAATAAACCTTATACTGCTAAAAGTGATCTATGGTCAATTGGAATGATGTTTTATGAAATGCTTTTTGGAAAAACACCTTGGCCAGCAAGAGATATCAAAAGTTTTCTCAAAAATATATATAATTTACCTTTGAGATTCCCTTATGATAAACCTATAGGGTCTTAAACGAAAAACTTTATTAAGTAATGTCTTACTATAGACGAGAAATAAAGAATTGGATGGGATGAAGTATTTAAGCATTAAATAATAAATAGAGACGGAGGGCAAATAGAAAAACCGGAAATTCTTTTAGATGAAAAAGCGAAGAAAATATTACGATCTATGTAGGAAATCGTATAAGCACATAATTTAAATATTTAAGATGTTTTTAATAAATTTGATACTGATGGAGGAGGCACATTAGACTAAGGCGAGTTTTTTTAACTTTTAAGTAATATAGACCCTAGAATTACTTCTTTTGAAAGCAACTATATTTTTACTATTGTGGATTCTTCACATGATAATAAAGTTAGTATATTGGAATTTTAGAATGTTTTTTGTCAATATGACTTCTGTGATATTGAAGATAGAGTTTCTTCGATTATTACTGATTTAAAGGAAATTATTAAGTGTAATAATTTAAATCTTAAGCAGATTTTTGCGGATTTTGATAGGAATAAAAGAGGAACATTGGATAGGGAAGAATTTGAGAAATTAATAAAAGTCGTTGCTCCGGCAATTAAATTAGCGGAAATTTAAGAATGCTTTGATAAATTTGATATTAATAAAGATGGAAACATATCTTTTGATGAATTTTATAAAATAATTAGTTATGGAATATAAAATAATGATAATAAATAGTATTTATTATAGGAAAAAGCAAAGAAAATAATTAGTGAAATAAAAAGGATTTGTAAAGATAATAATGTTAATGTAAAAACCATTTTTAAAAATATGCAAAAATCTAAACAATAATAATATATTGTAATGGAAGAGTTCTCATAATTAATGAAAATTATTGATGAATGTATTTAAATTTAAGAACTTAATTATATTTTTAGTATTTTTGATAAAAATTAAAACGGTAAAATTGAATTAGAAGAATTCATTGAATAAATAGGTTGATTAATTATATTTTAAAAATTAAATATATATTTGTCCTTATATTTATTTTTAATAATTAATTTATACTATAAATATATTATTTTATATTTAATTTAAAAATAATTATGGTTAAGTTAAACGCTGAAATTCTAAGTGATTTAGGTCTTAGTGATTATGAAATTTAAGAGGAAGAAGAAAATTAAATGTAAAACGAAGAAGATGAAAAGTTATTAATAGAAAATAATGAAAAAGAGAAATAACAAAAATAAAATAATGAAAAAGAAAAATAAAAAATGCTAAAGAAAGTTGAATAATATAATAAATAATAAAAATAAAAAGGTATTTTATATCAAATAAGTAATAAAAATATTATATATATATATATATAAAGGCGTTTGTTATCTATCTAGAATCCCTCCATATATGAAAGCAAATTAAATAAGAAAATTATTAGAGTCTTATGGAGTTTTAAGAATATATTTAGCTGCTGAAGATGATAATAAGCGTAAATTTAGAGTTAAAATGGGAGGAAATAAAAAAAGAAGATATACCGAAGGTTGGGTTGAATTTTAAGATAAAAGGATAGCAAAATTATCTGCAAAATCTTTAAATTGTTCGAAGATGAGTAAATTAAATTATATTATAAAAAAATATATATATATATATATATATGTATAAAAAAGTGAATAGTTAAAGATCTTTTTATAGCGAAGATTTATGGAATATAAAATATTTGCCGAAATTTAAATGGGAAAATCTTACAGAAAAACTTGCATATGACGAAAAAGTTAGAAAAGAAAAATTAAAAACGAATTAAATGTAGCAAAAAAAGAATAGGAGTTTTATAGAACTTAATTAGAAAAAAGTAAAGGAGTAGAAAAAGTAATAGAAAGAAAAGGGAACTCTGATAATTTTAAATAGAAAAGTTTGAATTTCTAATAAAGAAAACCTATTTAAAAAAAGCACGTTTTATAAAAAGATGACTGATAATTTGTAAAGTTTATATTAATTAATAAATATATAAATAATTAATGAATAAAGCTTAAATATATTAAAAATATATTACATATACATATATTCTTAATATTTTCTCTTTATTTTTTTTATATATAATTAAAGAATTTTAATGTAATCAATTTAATATTTATATCTTTTTATAAAAATGCATTGATAAATATTTCATATTATTATGATTTAATATAAATAAGTTTAAAAATTATTATAATGCTTATCTTAATGTTTAGGAATATAATATGTTTTAATTAATAATAATTTATATTATAAATATATTATTAAAGATTAAAATATTTTACGTGTTGTATTATTTTTAATATTTATTTTTTTATTCAAAAAAAATATATAAAATTAAATAATTAATACTATTATTATATTTAATATCTTAATTTTTTTATTGATTTAATTATATGATAGATTTTATGTTAGATAGTATGTAAATTAAGAAAAAATATATAATAAATAATGTTAATCAGTTGTTTTTTAAATAATTTATATTTATAAAATATAAAAGATTGAATTATAAACAATATTTATTTAAATAATTAATAATTTTATTTAATATCTTTAAAATATAATTTTAATTTAGACAAAAATCAAAATTTAATTAAGAATTAATATATTTTTATATTAAAAAATTTATTATTAATAATAATTATAATTTTAGGTAAGTAATATATATATTTATATTTATTATTATCAAATATATATATATTTATTTTATTTTAAAAATTTTTAACTAATTTTTATAAATATTTTTATTTTAGAATGTTCAATTATGACAATAATGTAAATATTCTAATTTTTTTATAAAATAATATATAATTTATACTATATAGTGTTTCTCTTATAAATAATAAAAAATTCAATATATTGATTATATAAAAAAACTTAAATTTATATATAATATTTTATAATAAATATATATTAAAATTAATATTTATTCAATATATTAAAAATGTATTCATTTAGTTTATATATTTACAAGTATGAAATTTCTTATTTTATGAAAAAAATATTATATTTCTTTTTAAATTTAATTTGATTTTAAATACTTAATAAAAATATATAAAACATTATAAAATCAAACAAACAATGAATTAAAAAATAACTCACTTAATATATTTATTACTTTTATTAAACTTTTGTTTCTAATAATGTAATATAAAATTATTACATAATATAATATATTTTAATATTTTTATAAAGAATTAACTCCAGAATAGATATAAATGATGCATAAATTAAATACATGTATTAAAGAATAATAAATAAAAGTTAAAGAACTTTAGAATAAATGCGATGATGACTGTTCAACTTAAATAGAAGAGCTTTCTAAATGTTATTACAGTTTCTACTTATAGATGCATATGAAGTATCTAACAAAAATGCAAATGAAAAATCTAATGAAAATGCTAATAAAAATTATAATCAAAATACTAATTAAAAATTTAATGATAATCAAATTAATAATAAAAATTATTAAGATTTTGGAAATAAATTATTAAGAAGAAACATATAAACTGAATAAACTATTTAAAAAATATAAACTCCTGAGTAAATGCTCTAGTAATTAAAAAAGTGTAAAAATTATGTTACAAATGATAAAGCAAAAAAATGACTGACATATTTTTATAATGTGAAGGTAAAAACTATTAAAAATTAATAGTATATTATTTTTTATTTTAATAGAAGAACTATATAAATTTTCATTACAAATAAGAATAAATATGATTATTCTATTAATTCTAATATTATTTATATATTGAACAAAAACATAAAATATATAAAAAAATGTATAAAATCATATGTATGTAAATTTATCAATATTTATATTCTAGAAATTAATAAAATTTAAATAAATAATTCTATATTTATTCTAATAAAATAAATGTTTTCGTAAATAAAAATATATTTTATAATATTTTTAAAATAAAAATACATAATAAATTTGGATTTTTTTAATAAATAAAAATCTAATTATTAAAATAATATAACTACTTTTTTAGTAGTAAATTAGTATTAATTGAAAAGCTATTTTATAGATAATTAATGGAATGATAAAAAAAATATTTAATAATAAAAATATATATAAAATATTATTATATTTCAATATTATAAAGTTTATTAAAAATCCTAAAATATAAATTATAATATTAAAATTTTAATAATTAAATAATAAATAAATGATGATTAAATACATATTTTTTAATAATTCTTTAAATTATATTTAATATAATTAATATACCAAATATTTTTATATATATATTTAAGGATATTGAATGTTATTTTTTAGTGAAAATAAATACATTTACAATAGAAAGCATTATTATATAAATAAAATATCTAAATTAAACATAAAAGTGTGTAAATAATAAGAATAATATTAGTATTATATTTTAAAGATTTTTATTTATTTAATTAAATTTATATTATTAAATAATAATAAAAAAAGCATTCTTCTTCCTATTTTTTATATTTTATTTGAAATATTTTATAATTTGAAATTATTTATGTCTTAAATTTTATATTTTATAAATAAATAAAATATTATTTAATTATTAATATTTATATTAAAAATATTTTTATAATAAACTCAAAATTTATAAACATAAAAAAACAATATAAAACTTATTAATTTATATTATTATTTTATAAAAAATCATGACGTTAAATTTATCAAACAAAATAATCAACATCTATAATCCATTATTTTTATTTTTAATCGATATCAATAAACCTACAATTTCCTTTAATTTTGCATTCTTAAGTAATTTATTAAACAATAGATTCTACTTTTTATTCATCATCGGAATCACCCAAAATATTTTAATTTTTATAAGTAATCCTACATTTTTTATTTAATAAAGTTCCTCTTTAGGGAATTTCATCATCTTTAAATTAATCTTTTGGATAAACAGCTACTTAATCTCTATCAAGTTTAATTACCTAAAAACAAAAATAAAATTATATTTAATAAAACAAAAAATATCGATTATATAAAAAATAAACTTTATCAATATTGCATTCATTTAAATCAACAGGTTCTAACCATTCCAATTTCGCATATTCATTTTCTACAGAAAAATTTCGAATTCTCTTTAATTACTCTTCTTTCAATCCACTTAAAAATTTAAGATTAGGTTTTAGGATATAATTACTTTTAATCATATATGGAGCAGAATCGTAATTAAAAATTATTTCAAAACTTAGATTTGTGCATCCGTTTTAATTTTTCGCAATTTAAAATATCATCTAAGCACTATCATTTAAAGATTTTCCTAGAAAATAAGTTTAAGCGAAAATAGGCCTTCCGTCTGATTCCATTTAAGAATTAGCTAAAAGTTCGTTTTGGGCGAATTCTACTATATCACGAATTCTATCATAAGATTTAAATTCATTAAAAAGTGTAAATTCTTCATTTTATAAAGTCAAACAATCCATTCGTATTACATATGTGTAATCTTTCCAAGCCTCTTTTTCCTTCTAAGCCTTTTTAATTATATTATTTTCTTTATCGAAATAACTAAAAGTAGGCTCAAATTATTGAATTCTTTTTGAAAATTATTATTAAGGAACACTTTTTTAATATAGAAATGTCTCTTATATTAAAAGCTTTTTTTTTGATGTTTTTTTTTTTTTATTTTTATTTTTTACTTCTCTTTCTCTTTTTTACTTAAAATAACATTTAAAATCATATTCATACTGTCTTTCTTCTCTTTCGAATTTTCCCATATAATCGGTAAATTTCGGAATTGATAATTAAAGTTTACTTTAATAATTATATAAAGTATTGTCTTATTATTACAGATTATTATCTACAATTGGAACTAAAGTATTTGAAACTGAATTCAAATTATTATTAATTTAATTATTAAATAAATTGTTTTGATTATTTGTAAAAATATTATTACTATTATTATTATTTTACATTGTATTATTCATAAATAAATTGTTTGAATTTTAAACAGGAGTACCCTAATTATTTTAAAATATATTTTAGCTTTGTGAATTAAGATTTTATTAATTTTATCTAAAAAACATATTATTATTATTATATTATTATTATTATTATTATTATTATTATTATTATTATTATTATTTATTATATTATTTGTATTATTTCCATTAAATATTTTGCTTGGATCTGCATTACTATTAACATTATTTTGAAATATATTACTACTATTATTTTTTTAATTATTATTAGCCATATTATTATTTGAAAATATATTATTATTATTTGTTGGTAATATATTATTATTATTATTTTATAATATATTACCATTATTTTAATTAAGGTTATTATTATTAAATATAGCATTGCCAGACAAATTATTATTATTTGGGAATTAAGTTACTCCAATACTATTATTCATAAAATTATTATTACTATTATTAAAAATATTATTGTTATTTTAAAAATTGTTTTATGTATTTTTATTAAAAATATTATTACTATTATCGTTTATAAAATTATTTTGATTGTTATTGTTATTAAAAATATTATTATTATTACTATTACTATTTATATTATTATTAAAAATGTTATTATTATTCATTTGAGTAGTATTATTACTGTTATTAAAAATATTACCAGAATTTTCCCCAATAATATTTTTCGCTTAAATATTATTATTATTTGCTTAAAAAAAATTATTCGAATTATTATTAGTATTAATATTGTTATTATTTTGGCTTGTGAAAATATTATTCGAATTATTTTAATTATTTCCCATATAAATATTTCTATTATTTTAATTATTAAAAATATTTTAGTTATTTCCTCCTATAGTATTATCGTTTGGTTTAAAAGGCATTTAATTATTATTAAAAACATTATTATTTTCAATTTATAATGGATTTTAATTCTAGCTAAAAATATTATTATTTTGGCTTTAAGTTTAATTTTAAAAAATATTGTTATTACTAGTAATGTTCTAATTCTAATTGAACATCGGATTATTGTTATTATTCTAACTTTATATCATAGGATGAACAGTATTCTAATTATTTTAAAATACATTCCCTTTTTGCATATTATTATTATTATTATTTAAGTATTAACTAGTAGTCATTTTAATTACTTCCATAATAAGTTGAGACTTAACAGGTTCTAATTAATCACTATTTTAAATTAATTAAGGATTAAATGCATTTAATTAAATACACTAAGCAATTCTTTATCTATCCTCATCATATATTTATTATTTTCTAATATTATAATAGTCTTCCAAACGTAAAAGCAAATGGTTCATGTTTTCAAATCCTTTACAAAACTAAATATTAGTATTCATTAATATACCCGGATTCGTAGTTGATGTGTCTTGCATAGAAGATTTTGTTTACTCATATTTACCTCTATAGGAGCCTATTTATTATTAGCTTTGTACAAATTAAGGATTATTTATTTATTATTATTTTTGTTAATTTATTAAAAATATATTACTGTTGTTATTTAAACCCATGTTGTTTGGGTTTTAGCTAAAAATGTTTGCTTGATTGTTTGTTTATGGGTTTTATACCATATTATTAAAGTTATTTTGGGAATACTGTTAAATGGGTTTATTTTGGGAAAATATATTATTGGCTTGTTAACCTTGGTTGAATATATTAGGGGTTTATTGGACTTGAGATTAAAAAATATTGGAACTCATTTATTTTTATATATTATATATATATATATAATATTCTTATTTTTTTTTAAGTTTTTTAATATTTTTTTTTTTAAATTATTTTTAAGTGTTTTTAAACAAAATATATAATATGTTTTATTTTTTTTAATTTCTATATATAAATATTAAAGCATTTTTATTATTATATTCCAAAAATTAAAAAATTTAATTTTAATTTATTATTTTTATTTGTATATTCGAATTAATAAGTTTCCGTGTAATAATTATACACACATTTTATTTTTTTTATTGGATAATTGTTTTCTAACAAAAAAAAAATTCAATCGAATAAATATGGGCAAGGAGAAATAAATAAATACATTATATTAACCAAAAAAATACATATAAAATATATAATATATCAAAATGATATATTAAAATAGTTTTAAATATAATAATTTATATTTATTCTAATAAATTTTTTTTTATATATATTTACTTTAAATATACCTTTAGTTCATTCATTTTTTATAATTTTTATTTTAAATATAAGTATTTTTTTTTTTAAATAAATTAAAAAATTTATTATTTAGCGAAAATTAATAATAGAGAAAATAAATAAAATAATTATATATATATATATATATATATTATATATATATATATATTTATACATATATATAAAGGTTTCATTAATATTTTTAATAATAAATAAAATATTGAATGCTTTGTTATAATTACCATAAAATTAGTTAAATTTAATAAATAAAGAAAACATTATAATTAAAATAATAAGTGTCATTTAATTATATTATATAATATAAAATTATAAAAAATTCATATTTTTTGATAAAAAATATTTAATTATTTTATTTAAAAAGTATTATTTTTTTAAAATTATTTTCAAATTTTATATATTTATCAAAAAAACTTATATTTTTTTATTTATTCATTTATTTTTTTCTTACATTCATCCTAATCTTTGCTTTATTAGCATTATTAAATGTTTTTTCCGAAAAAAATAATCGCATATTTAATTTTATATTAGTTTTTTTTATATTATTCTACAAGTTAATGAGTACATTCAACAAATTTATTCGCATTTAATTTATTTTCTAAATAACATTTTTATTTTTCTAAATTTAACTTTTTTATGTATTATGTTTTAAGCTATTTTTCTAAAAAATCCATAGGATTTATAATTTCGAAAATAAAAAAAAAAAAACTTAAAAATTTTTATAAATGATATATTTTAACAAAAAATAAAAAAAAATATTTTAAAGTAAGTTAAATAATAAAATCTATTTTTTTTTTATATATTGAGAGTAAAAAATTCATTTAAAATTTATAAAAATCTCCTCTTATTTTTTATAGAATTTTTTTTAATTTATATTTTTATATTATCTATAATTTTTTAATATGAATTAAAGATAAAATGTTGTTAAGTATTTATTAAAAGTTTCATATTTTTTATTTAATTTAAAATGAAATATAAATAAACACTTAAAAATAATCAAATTTTTATAAAAAATACATATATATAAATATTCAATCAATTTATTATTAAAAAAAAATTACTTTTTTTTTTTTTTTTACAAAAAAAAAAATAACAAAAAAATAACAAAAAAATATAACAAAAAAATGAAATATGATTATATACTTAATAATTCTAAAATAATTGAAATTGAAAACAATAATAATATATAATCTCCTTAAAATATTCCAAAACAAGAATAAATAAAGGAAGAAATAGCTAATGCACTTTAGTAAATGCAAGATTTCTCATCATAATTAGATATTTTATTTTAAACTATTAGATAAAGTAAACTTTTTAAAAAATATCAAAAACAATATAATATAAATTAGATTTATAATTATATTATACTACATATAACAATGATTTTAATTAAAATTTCACAAACATAATAAATTAAATCAATGAAATCGCAATATTAAATTTAAATGAAGAAAAAATGGATAGAACTATATTAATATTAAACCAATGTGATATATATTTACAAATTTACCCCGGATTTCTAGAATAACAAGTACTAGCATATAACAATCTAAGTTGTTATTATCGTAAATCAAAAGATATTCGCCGAGCATTAAAATTAATAGAAAAAACTCTATAATTAATAAATGAAAACGGCCTAAAGTGTCATTTAGGAATTACTTATTTAAATAAAAGTGCTATTTTAAGTGAAATGGGGAGGTATTTTTTTTAATAATATATATATATATTTATAAAGACATGTTGAATCTATTAAATATTGCTAAATAGGCATAAATGAACTTTAAATGTAATTTGATAAACTTTATAAATAAAAAAATGATCAGTTTTAAAATGTTGCTACTTAATTGGCAATTTCTTATTATAATTTAGGTACTTAGTATTATAATATTAAATAAATGGAAAAAAGCGTATAAAATTTAAATAATTCAGTAATTATTTCCGAATAGTATTTAGGAAATGAACATCCATTGACTATTTAATTTACTTAATCTTATGAAGAAACTAAAAAAGTATGAATATATATAAATATAAATATAAAAATATATATATATATATATATATATAAATTTAAACATATACTTATTTATATTTTTTTTTTTTTTAATTAGTTATCAAAAATAAATTATAAAAAACTAGATTTTTAAATAAAAAATATAGAAACCAACGAAGATTAAAATAAATTAAAACCAAAAGTATATAACAAATAAAAAAATATTGATTTCATATGGAATGATTATTAAGATTAAATGAAAATTATTTAACTTCCTTAGTAATTTTTATATATATATATATAATATTATATATACATATATATGTTTAAATAAATAAAAAGATAAATCAGATAAAATTTATAAATAGGATAAAAATGTTTCTAAGAAAATGATACAATACTAGATAAAAATAAATAAATTCGTATAAAATTATACAATTAGGTTTATAAAAACCCTAACTATAAAAAAAGTAAAATATTTTATCTTTCTAAAAATTCGGATAAAGTACTGAATAATCATATTCTCCTTTTAAAAATTTTAATTATTAAACATAGAGACTAGTTTAAAAATAATCACTTCTTTAAAAAATAGAAATAAATAGACCTTTTTCAGCCTAATAGCTATTGCAAATAACTTCCAAAAGGCAAAAATTAGCTACAAGTACTAAAAATACACCTAAAGTTCTTTTTCCAGAACCTATAATAGAAGCAGCAAATAAACATTAAGAATATGAGAGGGAAAATGAGGAATAAAATAGACTTTTTGTGTACAGTTAGAAGGATTTTAATTAAATTCACAAAGAAAATCTTTAGAAATAATAAGCCGAATTTCCTTAAAAAAAGCAAGTTTTTATTACCGAATAATTTTTGCCAAAATATGAAAAAAAAGAAAAAGAAAATATTATTTAAAAAAAAAAGAAATAAAATAATTATTTAATATTTAATAAAACTTCGTTATAAAATGCAAAAATAACGAAGATTTCACTCAACTTCAAAAAGGAAAAATTTAATGCGAATTCGACTAAAAAACATATATAATGAAATTTATTTTCATAGATTTTTAAGAAAATTAACATGAATTGTACATTAGTTTTATAAACGTTAAAAAAAATATGATTTTAGATACTATTCCTTTCGTTTATAAATAAATAAAGCCTAATATAGTACTTGATTGTAAAAAAAAATATATATATTTACTACAAAATGGACTTTAAATAATTATTAAGACAAATCAGCATTTAGAAGGAATACAAGTGCATTTATTTTAATAATAATACAATGTTTTTTAAGTCGAACAGCCTTTTGAAGAATATTTTTTAGAGCTTTAAAATAATAAACTGGATAATTTATAAAAAAAAAATAGTATTATATCACCGTTTAAATATAAAATGATTTCCTAAAATAAAGGAATTATTGCATGTATATTAAATAATGAAGAAAAATAATTAAAGTTTATATTTAAATAATTCAAAAATCCAAAAACTGAATAAATACATTTAATTATAATGGATTAATTCTTATAAGATTACAAAGTACATTAATAATGGAACGACATGCAACAATAACTTGAAAATCTAATAAATATTTTGAAAATATAATTTTATGTTAATAATTAAAATTAATTATCATATGATAAAGGTAATATATATATATATATATATATATATATATATATATATATATATATATATATATATATATTAATATGCATTTATTTATAAATATATTAAAGTTAGTTGGAATTTATAGAAAGAAGTTATAATTAATGAAAAATGTAATCTTTTAATAACTTATTTACTAATAAAATAATAAAATAACATATCTATTATTTAAAGATAAGAATACCTTAAATATTTAGAAGAAGAAGAAGAACTAGTATAGAAAACTTAAAACTAATTTTAAAAATCCTAATAATAAGAAAAATCCGATAAAATTTAAAAACCATTTTAGGAAAATTAAAAATTAATAGAAAATTAATAATTATATAATAATTAAAAAGAACTTGAAAATTAAATTCAAAAATCATAAAAGTCATCTTAATCATTAAATCAACAAAAATCTAGTTCTTCTTAAAAATCTCAAAAATTAATTTAACCTTAAAAACCTCAAAAATCGATTAAATCTTAAAAATCAATATAAGAAAATCGAAAATCTATATTAGAAGATGAAAAATCTAAAGAATAGTTAACAAGACAATAATTTTTATCAGTATGAAAAAACAAAAAATGAAAAAATACATATAAAAAAATATATTCATAATATAAATAAATCATATTTATTATTCAGCTTTACATAAAGCCAATATTGTAAAATTAACTTATTATGGGTCTCTTTCCATTAATTTTTTAGCTAAAATACAAGCATCTTTTAAGAAATTTTCACTATTACTATTTCCGTGATTAACTGGACTTTTTTTTCTTCCATCAAGTTCGTAAATATGTCCATTTTTTTCTATAAAACATACAAAATGTGTATTTACATCTTCTTACATTTACGCTTATCCCTATTCTACAGCCTCGCAATGTTGATGCTTTAATTCTTTACATTATAAAAAATAGTTACCTCTTTATTCAGGGGTCATAGTGGAAGTTTGTGCATAAAATTTTTCCAAAATCGAATCTTTTTTGGCCAATTCAGGATGCTATTCTATCATATTTAACATTGCGTGCATTACACCGACTGTACCGCAAGCATTTCTAGCAAATTATTTCATAAAGTATACTTTAGCGTCTACTTATTGCTATTTTTTTTCCTCTTCTTAGTCATATTTAATTGTGTTTTCGGTTATTGGGAATAAAAATACAACTGCAACACATGGTTTTGGAAGCATTTCTTACGCCCAGTCTTCAGTAGACATTAAATCTACCCATTAATACTTAGATGTATCGAATCCTAAGTTTTAAATATAAGGGTTTATTACATCAGGATTTGATTCTAAAGGAAACCAATTATCATGTTCGTTTTATTGATCAGGGAACATATTCATGATTATTTATTTTTTTATTTTATATATATATAAAAATTTTGTTTTCTTTTATTTGTATTTTTATTTAATAAGAAATAAATATTTTTATTATAATCCACTTTTTGGATATTTTTTTATAATTTTTTTTTTTTCTTAAGTAATATTTTTTTAATAAAATTTTAGTAATCTTTATGATGGAATTGATTATTTAAATTCTATAAATGAAGAAAATTATGAAATTATTTAAAGCTTTTTATTGATATTATTTCGTATAACATATATATATTTACTTATTTTTTATTTAATTTTTAGCTATTTATATATTTAAATTATAAGATAAATTATTTAATTAATAATTAAGACTATCAAGATAATATAAAAATCAAAAATTATCTAAATAATGCATTTTTTTATTAATTTAATTATAAATTATATTATTCCAACATTATTAATACCTAATTTTTTTAAAAAAAACAAAAACTTTTTAAATATTTAAAAAAAATAATCAAAAATTAATTTAAAAAAAATAAAAAAAAAATAACTTTTTTACTAAAATAACATAAAAAAAGCAAAGTCAAATTAAATTTCTTTTTTTTAATATCAAATAAAATCTAAAAATAAATAAATGTCAACCGATTCATTAAATTATTAATCCGAATACACAAAATCATATCACCAATAAATTAAAACGAGTATTGAGTCTTAAATCGAAATGGGTTTTTGTCCTGTAAGCCAGACCAAATCTCGTTTATACTATCTTGAAAACCCTAATCCATATCCTTGTGAATACTCTATAGAAAGCCAAATCCTTGAAATCCATCCCCCTAAAGGTATAATACCATCTAAAAGTAGAATATCATTTACTTTAAACTTTACTCCAACAGAAGCCACGGCTTTCGTATGTACAATAATATTAAATATATAGAATGAGGATCCGCGAATAATAAAAGTATCAGCAATTGGTAAATACCCATATATCTAATTGAATACACACAAAATAAATTTCGAACAAATACTTATAGGAAAATAAATTGTTAAAGATATCACAATAAAAAACTACTTCAAATGTAACTGCTTAATTTAATATTGTAAAAATGCAAGACGATGATTACAAAGATAATTCTATCGTTTTAGATATGTAAATATAATATAAAATATAAAATATATATATATGTATATATTTATATCTGTTTTGTTAGATATACAGGAGAAATTCCACCAAAAAGTAGTTTTCTTATATAAGCAACTTATTTACCATAAATTGTGGGTTTGATTTCAGTTATACATTATAAGATAATATGCGTTGGAGGGAATGAAGTTGTATTTTCCTGTAATGGAGAGGCTATAGGGTTCGATGTGGAATTAAGTAGTTAATCAGTTAATTTCGGAGAGGTTAAAATCGATAAAGAAGTAAGTAGACTAAGTTACTATTTACAATAAAAGTGATTTATAGACTAGTTTTTAATTTATGAATGATTAAGGCAATATTTTTAGTATTAGTCCAGTTTAAGGAATTATTAAACCTAAACAAAATTCGAGAATTATTATTTCTTTTAAACCGAATCATACTATATGTTATTATGAAAGAGTATATTTATATACCAATATATATTTATTTTTTATAGGTTTTTGTATTGTTAGAAATCATAGGTTATTTCATATTGATTTAATAGGAACATGTTATGATTTATTAATAAAACCAATTCCTTTATAATAAAAACATATAGATGCATTCAGAAAAAGAGTAATACAAGGAAAGCTTTCCGAAATAGATTTTAAATATATGGAAAATGCATTTTTATTAAAATAAAGTAATTTATAAAATATTGGTGGAAGTATTAGATCAAATATTGCTTAAAATAACTTTATGAAGCAATCGTAATAACAAAAAGAAAATATGATGAATTAAAATAATATAGAACTAGAAGAAGAAATACACGAAAACGCAAATTAAGTTGTTTTACATAAAGAAATGTTTTTACCTTGTAATTCTAAATAAAAACTAATTTATTTAAATGAAGAATTTCTAGATTTCGGGTTTTGTTAATTCATGTAAGAAAGTGCCCCTTTCTAAGTAGAATTAACTAACAAACTACAATGTAAAATCACTGTCTTTTGGACAATTTAAAAAAAACAAAATATCAATAATGAACTACTTCCAGTTTTTATAGTAAAACCTCAAACAATCAGTATTAAAGCAAATTCAACTTAAGTATTCGAAATTTCCTTTAGACCAATAAAAAACTCATATTACTATTTCTAAAACTTATAATTTTTCGCCTTTAAATACAATTCCAAAATCACTAAATTATTAATCGAAGACATAAAAAAAAACAATAACCCATCTAAAACATTCACAAGCTCTTTCCGTGAAAACCTCAAATTAACAAATACACTAAATTAAAATACTAACAATGAAAACATCCTTAATTAAAACGAGACTATTCCTCCATATTCCTCGTCTATAAAATGTGTAGGCCACTCTTTTGGTTTAAATTGTTAACCATTTATTCCAATTCTTTAATTTAATCCATCAAATAAAATCACTTTCAATGCCTGTTCTTTATAAGAAAGTCTTTATTAAACCGTAGAATTATCAAATCTTTCCGATACGCCCACTTTTTTTAAATTCCTCCCCGATCTATCCAAATCATATAGAATTTTCCCAAACGTAGGAATAATTTAAGCCAAATCATTTATAATATTAACCATTGAATTCATTCCCTCAGAATATAAAGCTTATAATAATACCCTATCTTGTTATTTAAACCACAATGCATCGAATATATTAAACCTCCATTTGCACGGATTTTGCTCTAAACCTAAACTAAGCTTATAAAATGAAGGAAAAATATACTTCCCGCCCTCATATACTGGAGTTTATTCACGCTAAAAGGTCAAAATAGACAATTTATCCAGAATTACGTTAGAATATAAAATTTATGTCCCACCAAAATACTCCCAAGAGCTATATTTGGAGCCTTCTGAGGGTAAAATAAAGCCTAATGAGCATATTTTTATAGACTGTTCATTTATTCCTTATAAAAAGAAGAATTATAGGATAAAAGTGCCTATTTAAATACTTGAAATACTCGATTTTTCGTAAAATTTAATCGGTTATCACCTCCCAAATAGCGGAAATCCATAGTATCCGTTGAAAATGAGAAATCCAATGGAAGTTTCTTATAATTTTGAAGTTTTTGGAGCTGGTGGAGATGGTTCATTGTCTATTTAACCAGAAAAAATGGAATTTGATGTCGTAAAAGTGGGTTTTACGGATAAAAAATATGCCACTTTACATAATTTTTCGAATTGTACATTTTATGTAGAGTTGAAATTAAGACGAGAAGATAATTAAGATGATAATTTTTTAGAATAAAACTTCGAATTAGACTTCAAATAGGGTATAATAGCTGCTAATTCGAAGGTAGATGTAGGAATTATATTCAATCCAACAAAAGTAGGGGATTATAATCTAGTATTAGATGTAATTGCGTAAGAAAAAACCCAAAGAGAGCTGCAAGTGCCATTAATAGGAAACTCTTTAGCCAAAAATGTGCTCTAAATATACACGCAAAGGGTTCTTATCCTCAATTGAAGATAGTTGATGTTAGAAATGATGCAATATCAGTAGCTAGTCTATGGGAAAACTTTTAAATTAATAAAATTAATAAAGAACTTTTAAGTGAACTTAATGAAGACGAGAAACAATATTTAAATATCGAATAATTAAATTATGAACAAGCCTAATAATTATAAAAAAGAATAAAATAATATGAATGGAATTTTGGATATTTACCGGCAAATAAAAATGCAAATAAGCAAAGAAAAATAGTCGTCACAATTTAAAATGTTGGTGGTACTGATATAGAATATAATTTTAAATTACCGTCAGACAATTAAGTTAAATTTAAAAAATTAATATATAAATATATATATAAGAATATATATATTTATATATTTATATATTTATATATTTATATATATAAATATATATTTATTTATTTATATATTTATATATTTATATATATTTTTTAGATATAAGTAGAACCATGGGCAGATCCTGGTGAACCTGATGAATTTGAAGCCTTTGAGAAAACAATTGTTGAGAGATAGATATTTTAAATAAGACCTAGAAACGGTATATTAAAAAAAGGTGAACTTAAGGATATTGAGCTTATTTATAATCCAAGTAATGGCGAAGAATAAGATTTTTATTTAAAAACTAAATATAAACAGAATAATTTACATGGATAAAAACATTTTTTGAGAGCTGTTTTGTAAATTCTAAATGGAAAGCCACTCTAAATTAATCTTAAAGGTATGGCATTGGCTCCTTTGGAAGGTCTTTTAGCTGTTAAAAAGGAATTTTTCGAACTTCCTGATGTCCCTTTAGGATTATTGATGCCTGTAAAATTTCCCATAGAAGTATAAAATGTAGGATCAAGTAAAATAACATATAAAGTAGAAATTTTATACAGTGAGGATAGTGAATATAAGGATATATATGTCCATAATTAATTAAATATATTTTAATTAGAAAAAAATAGTGAATAACTACTTCCTAATGAAAAATAATATTTATATTGTCTATTTAAACCTTTGGAAGAAAAAACATATTTTTTCAAACTAAGAATTAAAGTTTTTAATTTCGTTGAAATCAACCAAGAACTATACATAAATATAAAAGGGACTGGATATGACAAAAACAGGGCTAAAAAAAAAAAAAACGAAGACGAAATTCCTAAATAAAGGTCGAATAATATATCTAATTTAGGCTCCAAAGCTTTCTTTTCTATTGAAGAGTTAAATTTCGGTAAAATGGATGCAGGAAAAACTGAATATAGGCTAATTATTCTATATAACTTAAATACAGATAAAAAATTTAATTTCGATTTCGGAAGTTCAAGTTTTGCTTTATCAAACAATAGACCAGGACTAATGTGGTAAAATAATAAAATAAAAAAATATATATATAAAATAATAATATATATATATATATATATATATATATATATATATTTTTTAGTGGAGATGAATGTACTATAGAACCCATAACTGGATGCTTAGATCCAAATTCATTTTTAGAATTAAAAATAGGATTAAGTTGTGCATATGAACCATCTGTATATTAAGGGGAATTAGAATGTAATATAATATGGGAGAATAAGACTGGAATATAAGAAAAAGAGACTTTATTTTTAAGAGTGTAAAAAAGCTCAAATTTAGACTAAGAAAAAGTGAATTCTTTGAAATAAATTAGTTTAGTGAAAAATCCAAGTTTAAGAAAAAATACATTTAATCACTGTTTCGAACAAATTATAGAAAAAACTGTTTAGAATATACTAAATGACTTTTAAATAGAAAACAATATTAAATAAATAGATAATCAACCCAATGATTTGTACCTTTCTTTTGATGAACAAAAGACTGTGGATATTCTCCAAGTTATAAACCAATAAAATAGAGAAGATTATCGTGATTTTTAAGATGAAGAAGAGGAAAAAATTACAGCGGCGAATGATTATAGAGTACTTTTTTTATAAAATGAGTTCATTAGTCTAGTTGATTTGATATTTGAAAATACTTATTTTAATCTGGTTTAAGAAACTACAAGAAAAGAATGCGATTTATTGAAAATTTCAAAAACTTTTGTAATGAAAAATTGAAACATAAAAAATATATTAGGATACGCTTTTTTTTTATATTTATAATTTATATTATTATTTAATTTATTTTATTTATAATTTTTTTTTTAATTTTTTTTTAAAGGCTAATAATAATATATATAAATATTAATATTTAATCTATTATTATATTTTTAAGCATATTAATATATAACAATTCAGATATATTTATTTATTAAAAAATTATAATAATAAAAAAATGTCCGAAAAATAAATAATAGATGAAGAAACTAAATATAATAATCCTTCTTAAACATTATCTCTTTTATTAATGAGACAGTAAATGTAAATTTTCGAAAAGCTAATTTTAAGTGGTTAACTTTCTTAAGAATTATTTACTTTTTATTAATAATAATATGAGGTTTTTAGGAAATAAATGGTGTTTTTTACAGATAAGATAACTTCTGGGACTCTTAAATTTAATGACTATATAAATCTTTTGAAAAAAACATTAAATAATTTTATGTAATTAAAATAATAATGTGAAAATGATAAAAAAAAAGTTCTAAATTTTAATTTTAAAATCAAATTTGTCACAAACGAAATTAAATAATTAGCAGAAAAATAAAATGAAATGTTTTAAAAAATAGTTATATTAGCAAAATAAGCGAGTGCTAATTCAATATATTTAAAAACTAATATCGATTTAAAAAAACATGAAGAAAAATTACTTATTTTTGCTACAAGATATAAATAATATCATAATTTAGTGACTTATTTATCTTAAAATGTAAATAAAAAAAAATATATCATATAATCATATATATGAAGATTTTTATATATATATATATGTATTCTACTATATTAATTAAAAGTTAAGAGATACTAGATAAGACGAAATTAAAAATTATTATTTACCTTTATTAAGTAAAGCCAATACAATTTTATAAAATCTAAAAACTGGAAAAGATGAATCTATAAACGATATCCTCTAAAAAGAAATGGCCCCTTTAACTTTATAAAAATTCCTTGGAATGTCAAATGAATAATATACATAAAGTATTAAAAATTATAATTCTTATTATATTTTATAATAAAATAAATAGATATTAATGAGATTTTAAAATAATTAAAATAATGTATAGAAAAAGAGAAAAATTTCAAAAACTTATCTAAAAATTCAAAGAAAACTTAAGAAATGAACTGGTCAATATTATCTGATTAAAAATTAAAAAAATATGCTGCAATGTAGGCTTATTTAGAGTCTTTATTAAAGCCTTCTTGGATTCCTATACCTTAATATATATAAAATGAAGAAGCGCGTAGTTTAATTATAGAAAATAAAGATATTTAACCAAACGAAATGATATTTAAAATAATAAAATTAACTAACTGTCCTAAAGGAAAATATAAATTAAACTATTCTGTAGAAATAAATAGTAATATAATATCTGATAGCTTAGATTATTGTAATGAAAACACACTAGAATGGAATTACGAAAAAAAGATTTTAAGAGGACAAGATATGAAAAATATAGATATGGAAATACATAATAAAATTATTAATATAAATATCCAAAAAAAAGGGTTTTTATTCGGACATGATGATTTCTAAGCTTAAATTTCTTTATAATAATTACTTAATTAAAATACTATTTCTTCTTTTCTAGAAATTTCAAATAAAAATGAAAATTATAAACTACATGTATACTATATATATATATATTTTTTTATTTAAAAAAAAAAAAAGTTTGAAGTTAAAATTAGAGTATGTACTTAATAATTAACTAAAGTAAATATACCAGTAATTTCTTTTATTAAAACTTTTGAATCTTTAAATATAAATACTGATTTATAAACTTTTCTAAATAATAATAATATTAACACAAATAAATAATAAAATACTTCAAAAGTTGAAAAAAAATAAGAATAAGAAAAAAATTTGATTATTCCTTAAATAAAAGTAATTTTTTTATTTTTTTGTTAATAAATTAATTCATCTAATAGTTCTTAAAAAGAGGTTATACGTTTCCCGAAACTCAAATTCTCGAAAATATTGAAGAAAATCAAATACCTTAAGGTTTAACTAAAAACGAAATTTTATTCCCTGAAGATTTAGAAGAAAACTACTGTATGAATTACCTCTAGTTAGTAGAAAAAACATACGAAGAAGCCTAAAAATTCTTCGCTATTGAAGGCTTATAAAAAGAAAAAATGTACGCAAAAAAACTATTTGAATTAGCCTTCAAAAGATAAATAGTATTTTTATTTTTATTAAGAAAAAATAAAAACTATTTATTTTATTAGATAATTCCTTAATAAATAGAAAATGGAGAAATATAATTAGATAAATTAGTAGAATTCTATAAATAAGGTATTGTTAAAGATAGATAAAGAATAGAATTTTATGTGAGTTAAAAACTCTATGAATGGGCAGGATTTTGCATTGCCAAAAGAAAGCTTTATATATAAGATATGAAAGAGAATGAAATTCCTATTAATGATGTGGAAGATATAGACCCGACATAATTCTAATAAAAAGCTTAAAAAAAAGAAATACCAATAATAAGTATATAGCTTAATGTAAAAAAATAAATGAAAAATTATATATATATATAATTTTAAAAAAAAGTTTTTAAAAAGAGGAAATTTGTACCCAGAAAGCGAAATTTTAAATAAACTACCAGAAAATTTGATACCTGTAGGACTTTCACGTGATGAAATGCTTTTTCCAGAAGATTTAGATAATAACTATTGTATAAAATACTTAGAAATAATCGAAAAATATCAATAAGAAGCATAAAAGTACTTTTCGATTTAAGGACAATAAAATTAAAAAATATTCGCAAAACAATTATAAGAAAAAGCATTTAAAAGAAAATATGTAAATACATATATTTTATATTTTTATTTATATATATTATTAAGATTGTTAATTAAATGATAGAAGAAGGTAATTGTGAATATGATCTTATTTTTAAATTTTACTAAGAAGGAATAGTTAAAGATAGATTACGTGTTTAAATTTATATGAAATTAAAATTATATGAATGGGCTGGGTTTTGTTTAGCTAAAAGGTAAATTTATATTTAAGATATGAAAGAAAATGAGTTTTAGATAAATGATGTGGAATAAATTGATTATCAATAATATGCTTGATTTTATAATTAAATTAATATAATATTATAGTTTTTAAAATCTTTTATTTCTAAATTATAATTCAACTTTTTTTATGAATTTTTATTTTAAAATATTGAATTAAAATTTATATTTATTTAAAATTTAAAAATCTTTAAATTCTTAATTAAAAAATACCTATAAATATATGTATATAATATGTTACTTTTATATAATCTTATATTTCTAGCTTTCTTCTCAATATTCTTAATAATTCGTCTATTCTTATATCTAATCATGTGAACTTTCCAACCACTGCTCAAAAATCCATTGAAAACTTCTTAATATAAAGTATTCATTTTGAGTCTAAGTATTTAAACCACATTGTATTTTTAGATTTCTTTTTTATCATTATTAAATATCTTTCCAATTCTATCATATATATTTTATTATGAATTTCTTCAAAATTTACATTCCACTTATACTTTACTTTAATTAAAGACTTGTATATTCTATTTTAAATTTAACAAGGATGATTCATAATAATACCTAAGTATTAAACTAATGAAAACAAAATCTAAATAACTATTTTATTTTTACCCTGTTTCGAAATTTCCTACTGGTCACAGTTAATATTTTTCCGATTTTATACACAATCCTACAAATTCAATCTTAAGTGTTATTCTAGAGCTTAGTTTGGAGTTTCGAAAATATCTAAAATCTTTTTATACTATAGTGTATATTATAACTTCTATAAAATTAAATTAACCACGTAGTAACCTTATTTCATTAAATAATCTAAAAATTCATTATAATTTTAATATATTATTTATTCCAAATAAAACAGTGATTTTTCATATATTTTATTCATACAATCAGTCATTTTATAATGTTTTTATATATAATAATAATTATATATAGAATATGAAGATTTTCTTAAATTTAAAGAATTTCAATATATATATATATAATAAATTTACATTATTTTATTTTTTTGATTGTATGAAATCAAAAAATATATAAACTAATATTTATTTTTTTATAAAATATTTATTTAAATTTAGTATTTTCTAAATTAATACTAAATAATATATAATATAAGATGAAAAAAATTATTTCATTTTATATAATATATTGTAATATAAAAATTTATATTCATATATATATATTTAATATACGATCATATTAAAAAATTTAAAAATAAATAGATAGAAATTATAAATAGTAAATACAAAATAAAATTAATTATAATTATTATAAAAAAGATATTAATTATAGTATACATATTATATATTATATCTTATTAAACATATTTTTTATAATATTTTACAATAATATATTATAATTGATACTATATTTAGTAATTTTTTATTTTTGATAAATAAAAAAGAAATGTTTTTATTATTTTATAAAAAAAATCATTTTAAAGCTATTATTAAATTTTAAAAAAATATTATTTTAAATATCATTGTAAAAAATTTTAATATTTTTATTTTTAAGATATTATAAAATCGTTTTTTCATTAAAACATATATATATATATATATATAAATATATAAATATTTATATATATATACATATATATATATAAATATTTACATATATATAAATATCTATTAATATATAAATTTTTTAATTAAAAAATAATTATTATATTATAATAATAATATATAATTAAAAAAATTATCTTTTGATATTAACTAAATATAAAAATAATAGATTAAAAATTATTTAATAAATAATTTAAGCTAAAAAAATAAAAATAAACAATTTATTATTTTTTTTTAAAAAATATTTAATATATTGAGAAATAGCATTAAAATTAAATTTTTATAAATAAATATGATTCATTATTATTATTATTTTTATTTTCAATGTATTTTTTATTTTATTTTAAATATAAAAATAATTATATTTTAATTATTTTTTGCAAAATAATTATTATTTATAAGATATTAAATTATTAAGTTATCAATTTCATAAAATTTAATAATATAGATTATTTGATTAAATATCACTATATTTGTGTCTATATTATTTATTTTAAAGAAAAAATGTAATTTATAATCTAGAACGTTTATTAAAAACATATAAAGTTTATTAGTAGTTTAAGTTTTATCTAAAATAAAGATTCTATTGGCTTAAAATTTATTAATTAATTTATCTATGCATTATTTGTTCTTTTGAATTAATTAATAAACTTTTTTATTAAAATAAATGCCTAAAAATCTATAAAATTTAAAAATAATGAGCTTTCTTTTATTTTATTTAAGGAATATTTTTTTTATAAATTTATTTTAATATAATTAGTAACTTAATTTCTTAAACAATATAATAATAAGTCAAAATATATATTTTAATGTTATAAATGCCTTATAATTAATTTATTTTTTTATACGAAAGACTTTATTACCTATTTTATTAAAAAAAAAATTAAATATCTTTTAAAAAAAGAAATAAGATAAAAATTAATAAGTATAAAATAAATATATTCCAATTAAAAGTAAATTTTTATAAAAATATAATTATATTAAAAAAATATTTCTAATCAAAAAAAAATATATTTTTTTTATTTATTGTTATAAATATAAATTTATTACCAGAAAATTTAATACTTATATAATTTATATATATTTTTTTAAAAAAAGATAATTTTATAAAAAATAAATATATAAAAAAATTTTATCAATATAAAATTTATAAAAAGAATAAATTTTTAGAATTAAAATTATTTATATTTAAAAAATAAAAAATAACAAGTTTATTAATTATATTAATAAAAAAAAAAATTATATTTAAGTTTAATTATAAAAAAATAAATAAAATAAAATTAAGGTTTAATTTTTTATTCAATAAAAATAATAAATGTATTTTTTAATTTTTCCAATATTTGTTACGTCAAATAATGATGCGAACTATTTATTTAAAAAGAACAAAATATGTTGAACATTTATATAATTATATAAATAATATTTTTTATTTTTATATTAGAAAAATTACTTTTTTATACAATTATGTTTCTTTCTATTTGATTTATTAATTAAAAAATTATTTATTTTTTTAAAAAAATTAAAAATTATAATAATAAAGAGAAAAAAAAAAATAAAAAATATAAAAAAAATATTAAAATGTAAAATGGAAAAAATGAACCTGAAAGTGACAAAGAACAAATAACACAAGGAATGTCATCAACATAATGTAGCGAAAGCTGTTAAGAAAGATTATAAAACATTAAAGAAATTTATAATGAATAATTGAGTCCAACAGCAGTATATTTGGCATACGATGTAGTATATGAGAAGGTATATAATAGTAAAAAAGAAATAATAAAAAGTTTTATCTAATATAAAATAAATAAAATTATATAATATAATATATATTATATATTATAAATATATATAAATTTGTAAATAAATTATATATTTACATATTTTTATATATAAAAAAATATATTAATAATTATAAAAATATAATATATATATATTTATATTTATATTTATAATTATAATTATAATTATAATTATAATTATATTTTAAATTTATATATTTTTTTAATTAAATAGCAAGTTATTATTAAGAAGATATTTAAAAATAAACTTGATAATTATTAATTAGAGTAAGCTAGATTAGAAAGTTTTATTTCTTGCAATCTTAGTCATTTTAATCTTTGTAAAGGATATGCGTAATATGAAAATAATGAAGAAATCGGTATTTTTATGGAATTCGTTAATGATGCGGATTATTTTGTTGAAAAAATTGAAAATGTATTTATTTTTTTATATAATATAAAATAACGCATATTATACATAAATTTAAATTAATTTCATATTTATAATATTAATTTTCTTTTTGTTAAAAATAAATTCAAAAAGAATCATTAAGTTATTAAAAATGAATTAAAATTGAAAAGCTATATAATTGATATTTTAAAAGGTCTATAAAAAATTCACTAAGAAGGTAAAAAAATAAATATATATAAAAAAATTATATTAGAAAAAATAAAAAATACTCACTCAAAAAAAAAAAAAAAAGTAAATTCAAATAAACTTATAAAAATGAAAAAAAAAATATTAATTTAAAAAAAAATATAATAAAATAAAAATATAATTAAAAAAAAGAATGCACACATGTATATACTTTAAATAAACATTAAAAGGTTATGCACATTTAGACATAAAATTATCGAATTTATATTGTGTACAAAAGCAATAAAATGATATTCGCAGAGTAAAAGTAGCTGACTTTGGTCTTTGTCATAAAATAGACAAAGAAACAGGACTAGCTTTTATAAAATATAATTGTGGAACATTAGGATATAAATCTCCTGAAGTTAAAGATAATTCATACGTGAGTTAAAATGCAGATATGTGGTCTTTAGGAATTGTTTTATATATGATGGTTTGTGCATATAAACCTGATCAAATAAAAGGATATAAATATGGATCTGGTCCTATACCTTTTAGGGTATTTGATTGGAAAAATAAATCAGTATTATTAAAATAATTTGTTGAAAAACTACTAAGATATGACTGGAAAGAAAGAATAACGTGTGAAGAAGCTTTAAAAGATCCTTGGTTTTAGCAAGAGTGAAATTAAACAAAAAAAATATTTATTTTTTTATTATTCTATAAAATAAAAAATATAAATATAAATACAAATATATATATTCAATATAATTATATTTTTATTTTTCTTTATATTCATTATTAATTAATTTATAATTTTTTTTATTACCATTATAAATATATATATATATATATTTATATAAATATATATATATCAAAGTTGCATCAAAATTTAATCTAAATTAATAAATTCATCTTCTATAATTTCTTCTATTTCTTATAAATTTAATTTATTTTAAAATTCATTATTATAAGATATTTTTTAACATAATAAAAATGCGAATTCTTCAAAAGTATTTTATTTAAGTTTTCTTTTTGAAAAATTAACTACCAGTTGATTATTCATTTACAGTTTTTTAAAATTTTTTGTTAAAATCTCATTATCAAATTCATTCTATTTAATAACTAAAGGTTAAAAATGAAAATTTTACTCTTTTTTTTCCTTCTCAATCTAAACTCCAAAAAAGTCGTAAAAAAATACCCATTAATTTATTAAAAACTCCTTCGCAACATCTACTTAACTTAACATTTCTAGCATTTAAAGTGCTGATATTTTTAAGTAAAAGTTTTCTAAATTTCTACTAGAAAACACATACACTAATAAAGATGTCAAAACAGGCCATAAATCCTTAAAAAGTTATTACAAAAGTACACTTGATAGCCTTAGAAGTAAAATTTTAATACAAAAAAGTATCAATACAAGTAAAGAAGAGTGAATATTTTCCGCTTCTTTAATAAATGCCCCTATTTTATCTAATAGAGGTTAAATATCATCCCCAAATGAGTCTTTTTTGCACGCAAACAAAATAAAACAAAGTCTTTTAAAATTTTTTATTTTTTTTTTATTCTCCAAGCTATTACATTATTTAAATACGAAAATAGAACTTTCTAAAATACTGACTTTATTTAAATAAACTAAAAACAAATTTTCTTATTTCCTTTATTATTCGAAAAAATTCAAATTCTATATGATTTTCGCCCAATTCTTAAGTATTTTTTTCGAACAAGTGAAAAAGCTGTCCCCATTAAAAATACTCAAAATTCCCTTTTTTATTTCCCTTTAAATTTCCGGACTTTTTTTTATTAAAACTTATATTAAAAAAGAAATTTCTTCCAAACAAAAAATAACCTCTTCCTATATATTGCTAGATCCTCTTTTTCCGAATAAATCCATTAAAGGTTCCAAAAATTCACGTGTTCGGATATATATACGATCTTACTTTTCCAAAGAATAACAGTTTTGGAGTAAAGGAAGTGATATTTGTTATAAAAGCTTAAAATTCTATATATTTTATGTATTTTATTATGGGTTATTTAAAATATAGGTAGAGATTTATATTAGCTTTTAATTTATTAGATCGTGCAGGCTTTTTTGAAAATTCCCTTATAAGATTTCTTTAGGTGAATATTTTTCGCTTAAGATATAAATGAAATCTAAAATATTAGAAGTTGTAGTTATAAAAGGAGAAGAAGTGAAAAAAGAAACAAATAATAGAGCCTATTCCCATATTTAGGAGAGTTAATTTATTTATAATTCCTTGTTTTTTAAGGGGTTTTTTGAGATGTAAAAATGAACAAATTTTAAGATGGAATTTTCCTTGTTTTCAAATAAAGGTAAATTAGTATTTATCTTTTTTTATACACATTCACATATATAAGTAATTTGTTTTGTTAGAGAAATTGTTTTTAGGATAAAATACGCGTTTAAGTGAAGAAACGAAAATATATTTTCAATTAATATATTTTCTTCTTTTTCTTAAAATTCAAATAAACAATTAAAAAATTAAACAGGAAAATTGACACAAAGAGTTCTCAAAAATTATTAAATAGTTATTATTTGTGTATTTTCTATATATAAAAGTACATATATCACTATGATTTTTTCTAAATTTTCATATAAAAATTATTCCTTTTTTTCTTTTTTATTAATTTCTTCAGTATTTTTTGAAAATAGAGAATTCCATAAATTTCCAAAAGTAGAATTTTCTATATAAACTTCGTCTTCTTATATATTTTTTAATTTTAAAAATTCTTTACAAATTTAATTTAGAAATTCAACCATTTAATTCTTTTCTCTTATGCTCATTTTCTTTATATTTTTTCTTAATAAAATCTCCACTTTCTACAATAAAAGGATTAAAAACTCTCTTACATTTTCTTTTTTTCCATATTTATTCATTACATTTACTAATAAACACCCGAAAGAAACATATTAATGCCTCAACTCCCCTTTTTATTCCTAAAACCCATCCAATATTTGCTACCAAAACCTTTTATCTTATAAAAAATTACCCAAAACTTCACTTTGAACCTCCTAAAATTTCCTCAACCAACTCGATCTAGTAAAGACTGCCCTATATAATTACAAAAAATACATCTAAGTACTATAGTTTAAATTCTAAATAGCAAAAAAGTGTTTTTTAGGAATTTATTTAAGTATTTATTCACATAAGTTTTAACTTGTTTACATACTTTCTATATTACAAACTAAAAACTCGATAAATTCAAAGGCTATAGCATTTAATTATAAAAAAAGGTCTTTTTTTAAAAAAAAAGTAGATTCTAAAAAATTGCCTTCAATTAATATTAATAAAACTTAAACTAAAAATTCGTAATAATTATTTTTTTCTTCTTCTTTTTTATATTTTTCAATTTTTAATGTCTATATACTACCTTTACTTGATAATAAATTAGATTGTTAATTATTTTCTATTTATTTTTAACTAATTAGTTATGATTTTAAATTATTTTCGATATGCTTTTGACTATTTTCTATTGATTTTTAATTAGTTTTTGATAGAGTTTCTATTTTTTGGATGTTTTCTATTGATTTTTGATTACTTTTTGATATATTTTCTATTGATTTATAATTCGATTATGATAAATTGTCTATTTTTTAATTATTTTATATTGATTTTTAGTTATTTTGCTATGAATTGTCAATTTTTATATAATTATTATTATTTTCTTCTTTTGATTTTTAATTATTATTATTTTTTTATGAATTTTAATCATTTACTTAATTATTTTGTTCATTATTTAAATTAATAATTTATTCCGAAAATTAAAAATTGGATTAAAATGATTAATTAATTAAAAAGTTTAAAATTTGAATTTATGAAACTTAAAAAAATACTTTCTAAATCAAAAAAAATTAAAAAAAAAACTGAAAAAATTAGTCATCCATTTAATTAAAAAAAGCCTATCCAAAATTAGTAAAATAAACATACTTTTTTATCAAAAAATTAATTTAAAAAAAAACTATTCCAAAATCTCATTTAAATTTACGAAAATTCCTTAAACAAAATTTTAAACTGAATTTTTTATTATTAAATTTTCGCCAAAAAATTACTCAAAAACTACAAAAAAAGCTTCTTTTGGTATTTTCATATTTATTTTTTAACCGTTTTTCCATAAAAGCTTAAATTTTTTTATATTTCTATCTTTTTTTTCAACATTTTGCTCCATTTTTAAACTTTTTTTTAATTTTTACTCTAAAAAATAAGGTAAAAATACACAAATTTTACCCAAAAAAAACGCACTTTTTTAAGGAAAAATTTCAATTAAATTCCATGTTTTTTCCCCCAAATTTTCAAGTAATTATTTTTCCTTAAAAAAGCAATCTTTTTCTTCCTAAAAAAAGCAGTCTTTTTTTTCCTTAAAAAAGCAGTCTTTTTTTTCTTATAAAAAACAATCTTTTTCTTCCTTAAAAAAGCAGTCTTTTTTTTCCTCAAAAGAACAATCTTTTTTTTCCTCAAAAAAACAAGGCTTTTTTTCCAAAACTCTCAAATAAAAATTCAAAGCTTAAAAAAAATAAACCAAATGCAATTTCTGGAAAATTTTTTCGAAAAAATCTTCCTTTTTTATAAAATCCACTAAAAAATACATTATTTCATTTATCATTTCAAATATATTTTCCAAACAACCACCTTAATCAATTAAGTAAACGTAAAATTTACATATTTTCTATACATTATTTGGCACTAAATGCTCAACCTCTCCAAATTTCACATATATTTCCATTTGACCCACAATATTTTCCATTAAACCGATCTTATCCTCCCCTTCTAAGTCACCTAAAACCTCCAAAAACTCATAAAGTACAATTTTTATACATTTGTAAACTACCTAACAATTATCCATTTTCAGCACATGCTCCAAAACAAGCTTAATGCCTTAAACTACTTTCATTTTATCATCCAAATCCTTCTCATTTAGCCCCTTACAAAAACTAAAGCAAAAAACATTGACCTAACTTTCAATTGTACACAAAAACCTTCCAAAAGCAACATTTAATTATAAAAAAAGCCCATTTTATTTTTCCCAAAAAAACCTTAAAAATTCAACAAAATCACCCGAAATTTCCCATAAAACCATTTCTATTAAAAACTCGTTTTCCATAAATAAAAACATCATACATTTTACTCCAAAAATCACTTTTGAAATTTACTACTCTTTTTTGACATTTTCGAGTATATTTTTTAAGCCTTTTATTATATATTCAATAATTTTGTCTTTTTTTTCGATAAAATACTTCCCGTCTTCATCCGGAATACCAAAAAGCCATAAATTAGCCTTCCTAATAGTTAATAAATCCCTATTCTTTTCCCCAAAAAGCCTTAAAATGCCTTCTATAAGTAATTCTTGGTTCTCTTTAGTTAATATTTGGTTATTTTCATATTCTAAAGGCATATATTTATTTAATATATCAAGTATATATCTCTTGCTGTATATATTTTTCTAATCTTCCATTATAGCTAATATAGCATTTATTACTAAAGTATTTTTGTTTGGAAACATTTCCTCTATTTCATATTTTATTGATTCAGTATGATTTTATTCTTATGAAATATCAATAAAATAATTCATGTATGTTTTTTATTTTTCATCATTTTAATTTTCTTTTTACTCTTCTTCTTCTTCTCCTTCATTTTCTTATTTTTCTTCATTTTCATCTTCATCTTCTTATATATTATAGTTTTATTTTTTTTGAGATTCTAAATGATCATGATTTTCTTAATCTTAAAAAGATAATAAACCAGGTAAATTTTAGTTTTTTTATTACGAATTAAATAATTCAAAAGAATTATTCAATTTATTATTTAATTCATTATTAATTACTAAGCTATTATGAAGAGAATAAGTAATATTAACAGAAGAACTAATATTAAACTTTAAATTATTATTACTATCTTATTCTTATATTTTACTTTTAAAAGCATATTAATCTAAATCATCTTCATCTTTGATAAAACTACATTTTTTTAATATTTTTTCCAAAAATATAAGGCTAATTTCTCTTAAATCACTATTTTTAAGTATTATCATCCACAAAAACCCAACAAAAAACCTAGAAATATGAAAAAAAAAAAAAAATCAAATATAAATAATTTGAAGGATAAAATATTAAATAAATACATATATATATATACGAGTATTATAATAAATATATAGATATATATTTATATATATATATATATATATATATATATATATATATATATATATAATTTTTATTTATATATTCATTGCTTTTTTTTTATTTAAAAATTATAAATTTATTATTTTACTCTACCTTCTCCCTATTACCATTTTAATATCAAATAAAACTTTTTCCAATTGATCTTTTTCCTTTCCTTTTTTCCCTTTAATTGCCATTAAAAAACATGATATAAGTCCTCTTCCGCATTAGACAAGTTCTTTTTATACTGGAAGATAAAATTCTCTAATTAAATTAATAAAAAATTCAATATTATTTCCACTATATTTGCAATAAGGGAATAGACCAATACTAAAAAGACCTAAGTCTTTACAAAAAACTGCTTTATAATCACTTAATAAACCTTAGCAATTATTTTTTATATTTTTGAATATTTATTAATACACACGAAGTGATGCTAAATGCACAGATTAAGGTAATTCCTTATTTAAACATTAAGCAAGTCTTTTATATAATGTTATTTTATCAGTTATAAATGGACTTGGATAATCCTTTAATGCTTTTTCGATTTTAAATAGCCATTTTTCTATATCTGTCCATGTTTTATTTTTTTCGAAAAGACTAAATAAATGGCAAAATTACTTATTTAATTATGAGGTTAAAGGGATAAGTTTTTGGTTTTTTTCCATTTGTTTTATATATATATATTAATTTATTTTTTTAATTGTGTTCTTGTTTAAAAATTTAATATATATATTTTTTATATAATATAAAATAAATATTTATTTATTTATATTATTAAAATTTGTTTTTATTTTTGTTATTTAAATATATATATATATATAATTTTATTCATATTTATATATATATATATATTATATTTAAAAAATTTTCTTTTTAAAGATATTATAATAAGTAATTAATTAAATAAATTTATTAAAAATAAAAGTTTTTATTTTTTAAATAAAACAAACAAAGATATATAGTTTAAATAAAATAATTTATAATTAATAATATAAAAGTAAATGTAAAATATATATATATATATATATATATATATGTATATATATATATATATATATAGATATTATTTTTTTTATTTTTTTAAAAAAAAATTTATAAAAATATCATCAGTTTTCATTATAAAAGCTATTATTAAATTTTCTTATAGCAGAATCATTATTACTATTTAAAAAACATCCAATATCTTCTTCTTTAGGAGTAGCATAAAATTCATTATTATTAAAACCAAAAGTAATATTATTATATTAATTTTCAAAACTATAATTATTTTTATTATTATTATTTATTTCATCAAAAATAATACCTGCACCAAAATGTTACATATACATTTATTCAAAGCTATTATTATTATTTTCTTCAATTTTAAAATTCTAAAGACTATGATCAGCAGATGCATTTTTAATATCTTATTATTAAAATTAATTTTATTGCATTTATAAAAATTAAAAATTATTATTATTATTATTATTATTATTATTATTATTATTATTATTAATATTAATATTAATGTTATATTATATCTTTATTTTTATTATTATAATTTATATTTTCTTATTCATACTTTTTATTTATTTACTATGAATTTTCTTCGTTTCTTTTTTTCCTATCCCTAACAAAATTTCTCAATATCCCAATTTTTCTTATTTTTACTTTCAAAATCAAACCCATATAATTCTGCATATTTTATATACTTAAAATAATCATCTAAAGTTTTCTTGACAACCCCACCATATTAGCTGCAACATCTAAAGTAACTTTATGTAAGTTTTCCTTTTCATCTATAAATCCCTATTCATATAATCTTCTCCATTCCTATACTTTTTCACATACATACCCTATTTGTCTTTCTTTTACCCTTTTTTCTCTTGGTATTGATATATATTATTACTAAATTTATTATTTTTGGATTTTATGTTTATTATTTAATTCCTTTAAATTACTTTCCTCTTCTTTTTTTTATTCCTATCTTCTATTTTCTTACTTAGAATATGTCTCATTTATATTAAATTTTAAAATTAAATTTCTTTATATTTAATCTAAATGTATCATAAATTCATTTTAAATAAAAAACTCAGTAGGACCCAAATAAACAAAAAAATTACATGTCTAATTGAAAAAGAAAATATTTGTTTTTTTAGGTAGTATTTTATTTTCAATTAAGTAAGTAATTAATTAATTTACGTATAGTTGATTATTAAAATCTATTTAAACAGGAATTTGTTTAAAATATTATTTTTGGTCATTATAATCATTTATTAATATCAAATCTAAACTAAAATTTATACGATTAACTTTTTATTAATCCATAATTTATATAAAATTGTTATTATGAGGCATTTCTATATATTTTTTATTTTAAAAAAAGTTAAATTTTACGTGTGTTTTATTTTATATATAAATTTTTATTTATTTATTTTTATAAAGAAAAAATTATTTTTATATTTCTTAAAAAATATATATATATATATATATTTAATTTATGCAAAAAACCTGTTTTTAGAATTTTTAGCTCATTGAAAAATATATTAATAATTTAAAATAAAAATTATATATAAAAAATAGTTATATTAATAATTATTATATATTTTTAATTTATATGCATTTAATTATTTTTTTCTTTTGCTTAAAAATTATTTATAATTTTTATATAATAATTTAAATATATAAATATCGTTTTTATTAAAATATTTTATAAAATATATATATTTCATAAAATTTTAGATAATTTTAAATACATATTTTAAAGCTTTCTTAATTAGTATTATATAGAATGTTTTTTATTAATAAAAACTTTATAATTATATATTTTATTTATATTGTGATTACTATTAGGAAACATATATATATATGATATATTATTTTTTTTGTAATAAAAGTAAATATCAAAAAAATTTTACTTTTAATAAAATATAAAATTAAAATATTACGAACAAAACTCTAATTTAAAATTTTAAAAAATAATTACTATATAAAATTATTTGAATTGAATACAACATACATTATGTGTTTAAAAGTTAAAATTTTTTTAATGAATATATTGTTTTATTTATATTATTTCTAAAATATATTATACTAATATCAATATTAATTTATTTTTATATTTATAATTATAATAAAAAAAATATCAATATTTAAGATTTTAATATTATTTTTTCTAATAAATAATAATATTCTAAAATTTAAATTGATTATTATAAATTGAGATTAAATTTATAATATAAAAATTAAATTAAATTTTTTTATTTATAAATATAATTTTTTTTAAACAAAATATATAATTAATTCAAATATTTCTTTTAATGTATTTAAGTTTATTTAAATCTTTTACATTTTGAATTTATTATAAACTATATTATTAATTAAGATTAAAACTATTTTAGGTCTACTGACTTGAATATTAATGAATATTTATTTATTATTATTATTATTATTATTTATTATTTACTTATTATTTATTATCTACTACTATCATTTTTACCTTTTTAATCATTTACATATTATATTAATTCATTTATTTAGTAATTTACGCATTTAATTGGATAGCTTATATTTTCAATTCCTACACTTTATTATAATTTATTTTAACTTTTATAAACTAAAGAAGTTTGCAATTACTTTTTATTTCCACTATTATTTGTATAATTATTATTTTAATTATTTGATGCAATTTATTTAATTTTATTAACTTGTTATTATATACCTAATGTATTATTTTACTTATGCATAGAATGTGATTTTGGAGAGCCTTATTTTTCAAAATTAAGTTTTTTAACATTTTATATTTTGCTTATATTTTATATATTAGAATTGGAAGAAATTTTATTTATAGTATTTTATTTTTAGCTTTAATTTAATTTGAAGCCATTTTATTTATTTATTCTTCTATTTTTTAATTAATTTACCTGATCTTTAATATCCCTAATTGTAGTATTTAATTCTTTTTCTATTCTCTTCTTCTCTTATTAAAAATTATTATAATCTAAAACATTATAATATTTGGAATCTTTTAATAATTATTATTAACTTGATACATTATTTAAATTATTCATTTACTAATTTATATGTTAATTTATTTATTAACTTATAGTAAAATTACTTTATTAATTGTTAAATAAAATATTATTATTTTACTACTTTAAAATATTAACTTATTAATTTAAATTATGTATTTATAAACTTTATTAATATTAATTATATACTTATTAATTTGATTTATTTGTTTATTGTTCTTATATATTTTTTTATTATTTTTATATATTTATTTATTAATCTTATTATTATTAATTTATTTAATTATTAATTTACAAACTTTATTATATATTAATTAACTAACTTTATTATATATTTATTTATTCACTTAATTAAGTATTTATTTAATTATTATTCTATTATTATTATTATTATTATTATTATTATTATTATTATTATGTTTATTTCTATTAATATTATTAATAATTAAATTCAACTAAATTATTATTATTATTATTACCGCCATTAACTGTTTTTTTTTCCAAAAGCCAATACTATTATTTCCAATTCTCAACTTATTGCTCTAGTTTTTTGTTTTTATTTTTCAAAAACAATATATTATTATAAACCTTTGTACTATTTGGCATTTAATTCAGTATTTCCTATCTATTTTTCCTTATATTCTTCGAATCTACATCGCCATATTAATCATCCTCCAAATCACTAAATTCAATTTCCGAATCAAATAAATTTTCTAGTATTTTATCATCAAAAGCCTAACTTTAATAATTCTATTAATTATTTTTCATTTTAATGATTTCATCTTATAATATTTTATTTAAATTATTTGCTTTATTTAATTCATTTTATAAATCCTCATCAAAAGCCTCATTTCTTTTTTCCTAAAAAACATATTTGTTAAATGAAGAATTTTTATTGTTATTATTCTCTTCACTTTCAATAACAGAATTATACATATTAGTTTTTAATTAAACTATTTCCCTTGCATGCTCTTTTTATATTTCTTCAACTTTATTTTGCCAATATTGAATTTCTTTTTCTAAATTTTGCACTTTTTCCTTTAAAAAAATATTCTCGTCTTTTAATTCCTATATTATATTCACATCCTTCTCCTATATATTGCTTTTTTACATCGTTTTCTCATATTATGATATATCACTCATTAATTTATCGTTTATTTTTAATAATCTATTTACTTCTTTGCTTAAATATATCACTTTTGAGCTTATATTTTATATTAAAAATTCACTTCCGTTAGGACTTCGTGGACTGTTTTATGAATTCTCCGTTTTTCTGTGTGAATATATAGAAACGTTGATTGAATCTTCGTTTTTTGTTATGGTTTGTAGATAGTTCATAGGTGAATATGTTTAAGATACATTTTATAAAGGTGAACAACTTGAATTTTCGATTATTTAAGTTTAACTAGGGAAATATTTTATACTTGTGAGTGGATTATTCATACTATTTTTTATTTAATACTATTAAAAAATAGATTTGAATTTAATTTTTTTAATTAAAATTATATAATTAATTTTTTATTATTTTCTATTATTATAAAAATAAGGAGATTATTTGTTTTTTTTTTTTTTTTTTTTTAAAATTATTTATAAAAAAAGTTCTTAAAATTTTTATTTCTTTTAAAGGATTTTTTTTTTAAAAAAAAAAAACTAAA